GCGCTCCGCTCCCGCAGCTTTCTCTTCTGCTCCTGGTGCGTCTGCCCCTGATAAGTCGGGCGTTGGACTTGTGAGACCCCTGGTAGGCCCTCAGGGCGGCTCAGAGAGAGGGACGGGCTGCAGTGGGGGCCCATGCCAAGAAACACCCTGCTCGCCTCCAGGGAGCCCTTGGTCTCTTGGGCTTCGATGGTACTGCGACGGACAGCGTGACATTCCCACACCAAAGACCAATGTTCGTCCTGGGGTCTCAGGGTTGGGTTTCTTGTGGAAGGTTTCTTGTGCACTGGCCTCCACTGTACTCGAATCTTGATTGTCTCTGATGTGTCCACCTGTTCCGATGCAGGGAGAGCTGAGCTGAGAGGCAGCAGAGGAGGCACTGGAGCAGAGCGCGCTTCGCCCCTCCCCCCCAATCTGGGTGATTTTAGCGCCCTGGCCACGGCAGTTTCAGTACAGTGGGGGCCCATACCAAGAAACACCCTGCTTGCCTCCAGGGTGCCCTGGGTCTCTTGGGCTTCGATGGTTTTGCGATGGAGAGCGCGACGTTCCCACGCCAAACATCCATGGACGCCCTGGGGTCTCAGGGTTGGGTTTCTTGTGGAAGGTTTCTTGTGGTCGGGCCTCCACTGTACGTACCGATACCCACCGGTCGATGGAAGTAGGTATTTTTGGAGTCCCAGATTCCCATCTGTTTCAAGCGCCTGCCTACCTCAACGATCGAGTGGCTTCTCCTTTTCCGTCCTCCTGGGGGGGGCGCGCGGACACCCGGTCTGCTCCCGACGCCTTCCCTACTCCATGCTTCTGCCCACTGCTTCCGACCGAGGGGCACAAAGGGGCGCTTCCCCCGCCGGGAGGTCCTGCAGGAGCGGGAGGGCGCAGAGCGCCCCCGCCCAGTCCTGAGAGGGGGGGGGGGGCGCGCCCCCGCCCTTACCCCTAACCTGCCCTGTGGCGGCGGCAGGGCAGGCCGGGTGGGCCGTCTCGGATCCTCCGGCCCGGGGACACGGCAAGCCTGGCGGGGGCGTCCCGTGGAGCCGTCTCCTGCGGCCGCCTCCGTGCCGCCCTGCGGCCGCGTTGGGGCTCCTCGGGGGCCCTCCAGGAGGGCAGCTCCCTCGGACGGTGCTCCAGGCTGCGGCGCGAGAGCCGTGCCGCTGTTTCCGGGGGCCTCTTCGGGTCGTCCCGGGGCTATGTTTGGCCATCTTGGCCGCCTCGGAAGGGGATGCTGAATCGTTTTGCAGGCCATGGCCATCCTGGCCGCTTGGGCTGCCATCTTGGCCGTCTTGGAGTTCGCTCTGGGGCACCGTCGAGTCATCAGAGGCTAGCGTGAACCCCTGGGCCGCCTTGGGGCCTTGTTGGGGCTCTCATGGTGACCCCCCATGGCAGTTCCCCGACAGTTCTTCACACGTCTCCCCTCATCCCTGGCCCCCTCTATCACCCTCGCCCTCCCCCTTTCCGCTTCGTACTCTTACTGTTGAGTCGGGCCTGTCCCTCTACAGGGGGAATATTCAAAAATAGTACAACAATAGTCTGGGGACTTTTTTTGTTTTTGTTTTTTTGTTTTTTTGTTTTATTTTTTTCGCCCAAAGCCCCCCTGTAGGGGGATATGCCCGACCTAATCTTACTGGCAGGAAAGGTGCAGGAGGACCAAGGGTGGACGGGGACGGCCGACAAACAGGGGGGCATGCAGCGGGCAGATGCGAAGAAGATGGCAATGCGGCTGAGGAGGAGCAGGAGGAGGGGGAGGAACAGGAGGGGGAGAAGGAGGGGGAGGGGGAGAGGTTAATGGAAAAGGAGGGGGAGGAGGAGGGGGAAGGGGGAGAGGGAGGAGGAGGAGGAGGAACCAGCGTCGACTTGCGCTTGGACCCGTCGTGGAGCTTTGCTCGGCTGAGCGGTCGACAATTCTTCGCCGCAGCTGTGGGACAGTTCTCCAACAGTTCTCCGACAGTTCTCCAGGAACTGTCGGAGAACTGTCGGCGCGAGCGGCGCGTTTCCTCCCTGCGCGCTTCCCAGGGGGCGTCTTGGGGTCCTCTTGGAAGCATCTTGAACCTCTTGGGGCCTCTTTCGGGGCATGTTGGGGGGGCTTTTTGGAAGCCTCTGATGGCCTCTGGGCTCTTCGCGGAGCTTTGTTCGGCTCCACGGCCGACAATTCGGCGCAGCTGTCGGGCAGTTACCCGACCGCTGTCCGACAGTCCTCCAGAAAGCTGTTGGAGAACTTCCGGAGGACTGTCGGCGCGAGCGGCGCGTTTCCTCCTCGCGCCTCTCGGGGGGCCTCTCGAGGGCTTCTCGGGGGGCACATGGGGCCTCTTGGGGCCCCTTTTGGGGGCCTCCTTGGGGGCCTCCCTGGAACCTGTTCTGTCCTCTTGGGGGGGCCTCTCCGGGGCCTGCCAGCGCTCTCTCGAGGGCGTGGTGTCGCGTGCTGGGGCCCCTGGCGGAGCTTGGTTCGGCGGGCAGCCAAGGGGGGGTGGAGGAGGTCCGAGAGAGCCCACGCAGATGTGAGGCAAACCCTGCCCTGGACCAGGGTGCTGCAGTGCCGAGGTGGGCGAAGCTGCTGACAGTGGCGGGGTTGCCAGCAGCATCATAGAAACAGAGCTGGTCGAAGGGGATCAGGAGTGGAGGGCGCAGTACTAGGTGACGAGCAGTAGGAACCAGGAGGCCATGATAGGGATCGGCACGACATATGTGCTGCATGATTTCGGCGTTACCTGCAACCACAGCGCCACTTGGGACAACCCAATCTCGGAGTGCAACAGAAAGGAGAACAGTCGGATGCAAACGTCAGTCGAGTTTCAGCTGGAGGAGACGGAGGTGGTTGGTAAATTTAATGAGGTACCAGTGAAAGGCCAGGAGAGCGGCATGGAAACGATAGTGGTTACCGTGGATTCAGGAGCATGCGACACGATTAGGTCTCCGAGCGTGGGAACCCATTTTCCGGTGAAACCCGTGGATGCCTTGAGGAATTGTAAGCATTACAACACAGCTCATGGGTCAGTTTCTACGAGCTATGGACAACAAGTTGCTGTGGAGAAAAAACGAGAAACGGATCCATTGTGAGCAAGCATGCCTATCCAAGAAAAGGTATTCGTGTCTGCGCTTTAAGTGGTAGAGACAAAACATCGTATAGGGTTAGATCGAGACAGCGACGGGCGTTCCTGTAGTTTTCTTGAGCATACAGCAACGGTGCAGCAGACGACGATCCATGCGAAAAGGGGTGATATCCAGTTCACCATCCGTGTCCCGAGTGTTTTGGCGGATCAGGAGGGGACGAGGAGCGTCGAGGAAGTTAGTGACACATGACGTGTGAGGAGGGCATGGAACTCTCATGGCGGACCTGTTCTACAGAGTCCAGCTGGGCCCGTGAACCCCAGTCAAAATCCAGTCATCATGAATTTGGAGGACGGCCACGAGAGTTAGTAATGTTTGTAGGAGACGAGGCTGAAGCATCCAAAATCATAACCGCGTGCGACTTGAGGCCAAGCAAAATGAAGTCCAGTTGCGTAACAAAATCATCTACCACATCGGAGTTGGTGCCCCCAGTGCGTTCGCGAGAAAGCAACGGGGAGAACACGCAAGCGGAGAATGTAATCAAGGAGGCACGGAACATCTTCGATCTCAACCGCTTGAATTTGATTAAGTGGTAGGCTATGGCGAAGAGGAAGGACACATAATATCGACTGCAGTTCTGCGTTGCCGGTTTTCCTAGTTAACCAATAGCCGCGCTTCACTTCAGAAGGGGGTGGATCTTCATTCGATCAAAGTAGTCCGAGACATGATTTTGGTCACCGGCCACAAGAGATTAATTTGCAACAGCGATAGTGAGTCATCCATCACGGCGCTCAAAGAGGCTGTCAGTCCTGCATGCGCCCTAAACTTAGGAATGGAGGAAAGTCCCGTCGGAGATTCTCATGCAAACGTTGAAGTCGAAAGGTCGAGGAGCATCAGAAGAGGTCAAGTCAGGACATTGAAGAGTGCTTCTGGACGACGTGTACAACGTTGAGCTCACGGAAAGCATGCGCTTGTACCTTGGTTGTTTGCCTGTGTCTTTTCCCTTTTCAAAGAGTTCGCCATTGACCCCGACGGAAAACGGCTCATGAGAGGTGCCGAGGGCGCATGCTCATTAAGGCCGTACCCGAGGTTAGGGAATGCATCGCGTATTTGAGGATTTCTTTTGCAGAGGGAAGCATCGACCTCGACGCAAGACGGAAGAGTGGGATATTTTCGGGGTGCGCAGAGCAATCCAGGAGTTTGCTGGCGGTGTTCAGGACGGGGCCATCAAACCCCATTGACTTTTGTGTGGAGGAAGTGACGAGGATAAGTTTGATCCAGCAACAGTTGCCCATTTGGGACGTATGCCTTGGCGGTCAGATCCCGTGGCGCTTTGAGAAGGCTTTGAAGCGCCAGTGTGGTATCGCCCATGATTGTGCCCGATCAATTCTCGACTGTTAACGCCGCGCCTTTAGTGGCCCGAGGGATTGCAGTGGGGGGTTCGGGGCGCATTGCTTTGGGGCCGACGCCTGGGTGTCTCGGATGCAAGGCCATAGTTTTGGCAGATGCTGCGCGCGTGCCGCGCGGTCCAGGATGTCGCGACAGAGTATTTGAGTGGCTATGGGGGGCAAGAAGTCCCGAACTGTCAGCAAGGGTTAGCGGTGGCCCAAATGAAGATGGGGCCTGACAGCGCCGAGCGAAACAAAAACAGGGAATACACTTTGATCGACAAGTCGGCATGTAAAGACGGGGTAGCCGCGCGACGCCACCGTGAGCCCAGAACCAACGTGCACGCACCAGCAGACATCTGGATGAGACCCCCCCGAACGGCGATGCAACCGGAGACAGGCGCGTGCAATCTCTCGCGGCGCTGGCGAGACGGTGGGTGTTCCGGGCGATTGGAAGGCCCAGGGTGTAGGGGGGGGGGGTGCGAGGGCACTGGGCGGGATGGAATGATTTCCGCGTTATCTCTGGAGGCGATGGCGACGCGTGAATCGCTTGCGTTACTCCGCCAGGATCAGCGG